TGTCAAAGAATCCGATGTATTAAGTCATCTGTCCTCCAGACGGGAAACAGCGGGTCTCCTCCGAGTGGAGCATTTTGGGCAGCGGGGACAAACACGCCGACTTCCGTCTCTTTCTCAGAGGGGAGAAGAAAAAAAATATCGGGCACCATCAGCAAGAGGTTTGCACCCAATGACAACAGCCAGCATATCGTGCCACGACTGCATTCCAACCTGAGTGGCTAGCTAGCAGCCAAAGCATCGAAGCGGACCCATCCGTCAATCTCTTCTTAGACAGACTCGCATACCACTGCGCCCACCGGTCGGTCGAGACAGGAACACGCCCCAAGTTGACAAGACAACGAGGGAAACGAAGGGTGTCTTGCTGCTGTTTCTCCCCTTCCTATACCTCCCCTCCGCCTCTCCCAGAATTCCTCCTTTGTGCGCCCAACATGTCGTCTTCCAGCCAGAAGCGCGCCAGCGCAGCGAGTCCCAGCCTGGAAAAAGATTGGGCCTCAAGCTAAAGCAGCAACCTGCAGCGGAGGCCGGTGGTTCGCCTGCAGCATCCGGGTCGTCGACGCCCAACGGGGCCGGAAAGCAGGATCTGGGCGTCAATGCCGCCGCTCCCAAAAGAAAACGACCGGAACACTCCACCCCCCTGACGTTTGCCTCCCCGTTGAAGAAGGCCCGCACACACGACACTGCATCGGTTGCTACTCCTGCCCTGAGAAAACAAAAATCCGTCACCTTTACCGACGACACCAAGAACCCTGCACCAGTCATTGCAGCTGAACGAAACGGCGTCGCTACTCCCGCAAAGAAGCCAAAAGGACCCAAGGGACCCAGCAAGAAACCCAAAAACGACCAGCCCACCGCCGACATCCAGCCCGCCCTCGAGTACCTGAGGACGTGGAAGACAAGCCGTGACAGCTGGAAGTTCAACAAGAACCACCAAACCACCCTCATCAAGCGCATCTTCGACGCCAATGCCATCCCTTCAGCCGATATTGAAGCCTTCTACGACTACATACAAGACCTGAAAGGCTTCACGCGAAAGCGCTTCTGCGAGACGGCTTCTGACGTCACAACCCAAGATTCGACAGACGGCAAGGCGGGGTTCCCCCAGGGCACCATGGAGGTCCAGGCCAAACAGGCCGAGTACGATGCCATTATTGCTGGCATCCTGAAGCTGGGCCTTGGTGCGGGAAGCAAGAGAAAATGCTTCGACGAGGTCAGCTTCGTTGATCAGGCCACCGACGCCGCCATCACCCAGCGTGTCATCAAGCGTATGCGTGCCGAGATTGTGCTCGACGAGCTCTCCGACAGCGATGAGAGCACCAACAGTGACGCCCTGACAGCCACGACTGACGCCGCCGAGTCGGCCTCCTCAGCCCCCGAGCCGGTGCCGGCGCTCGAGGATGACGATTCTGACGACGAGGAAGAAGAAGAAGAGACCAAGGCAGTGGTCAAGGAGCTCAGCACGCAGGCGCGTCCCCGGCGTCGCAAAATGCGCACGACGGCCGACGACTCTAGCTCTGACGAGTCTTCGGACTCGGATAGCGACTCGGATGCGAGCAGCGGCACCGATGGTGACGAAGACTCTGATGATGAGGACGAGACCCCTGCTGCGGATGACGACGATGATACCTCGAGCAGCGACTCTTCAGATTCGTCCGACTCAGAGAGTGATGAGTCGGATGACTCTTCGGAAGACGAGGACGAGGGCCCGGCCAAGACGGCGTCCGCTAAGCGGAAGTAAGGAGTGGGAAAATACGGAGACGGCCACATATCATGACAGAGAGGCCCAGGATGAATGCACATGTATCAGAAGCCTGCCGTGTGGTGACGAGGAACACCGTCCGGAGGACGATATAGACTAGACTATGATTAGACGCCCTATCGGCGAGATGCTTCTAGCAATGGATGGATACCCCAACGGCAGGCTCGCCACGGCAAATCTGTGAAACCGTGACACCTACGCCGAGGCAGACAGTTTCGTGAAACCCTGCTCCGGGGGCTGCAACCAGTTCCTCTCATCGTAGGCCGGACCGCCCTGCTCGATGATGTGGAACGTGTAAATAATACGCCCCTTCTGACTCGTATTCCGCTCGCTCTTGTGCAGCAGGTTGCCGTGGATCAGTACGAGATCACCCGCCTTCACCTCTCCGGGGACGTACTCCCCGTCCTGGTCCTGCTTCTCGATGTAGTCCGAACCAGGCGGGAAGACTGGTCCCTTGTTCGCCACCATCTCGGTACCCACGTCTTTGCCGCCCACCTTCTTCCGCACAAGCCTCTCTTTTACGGGCGCCCACTTGTGCGATCCAGGCAGGAAGCTCAAGCAGCCGTTCTCCAGCGTCGCGTCCTCGAGGGCGTACCAGAAGCCGACGGCAGAAGGGGGGTCTGTGTACAAAAAGGTTGAGTCCCTGGTGCGGCGGCACGGCGCCTCCAATCTCGGGCTGCTTGCAGATGACCATGCTCTGCAAGCACCTGGGGTCTTGGAAGCCGAGAGAGCGTGCCACGGCCCCAGGGTCAACAGGTTGACCCGCACCAGGAGCGGGAGACGAGATGGCGCGGAAGGGTGGCGAGAGTTCGTGCAGATAGTGGCCAATTTTGTTGACAGCGCGAGCTTTGGGCTTGGTGAGCTTTCCGTCGGGCCCGAAGGCGTCTTCCTCGAAGAAGAAGCGCACCTTATCGCCTGAGGAGAGAAAGTAGTCGTCGCCAACATGATCAGCACCTTCCTGGCCAGTCGAGAAACGAGTCATGGGGTGGTCTTCAAGAGAGAAGTTCTCGAGCAGGTTGTTTGTCTCCTCGAGGCAGGCGGCAACAGTGGAGGAGTCCAAGGCCTGAGGGAGGATGAGGAAGCCCTCACGATGAAATTGGTCAAGCTGAGCCGGGTTGAGACCGCCGGGGACATTGGTGGCATCGTTTGTAGCCATGGCGAAGATGCAGTGATTCGTTACTATGCAGAGGAGGCTTGGGTTTCAATAAAAGTGCGTAGGCAGGTGGAAGTCGATTTCGCCTGTTGTGATGTGGATGTGGTGAGGGTGTTAGGGAGGGGCCTCGGCTGCCCCGCACTGTCAGATAATAACCATCCCTCCTTCCCTTCTCGACCAATCCAAGGTGACGCACACACGACATCACAATGCGAAAGCTGATGCTGCACAAGCCTCTTGTCACGCGAGAACGCAGAGAAAGTTGAGAGTATATCCAACTGCTCACGAGATGCCAGCCGATTCGCCTTCTACGAGACTCGCAGACCAAAGTATGCCGTTCCGAATACGCCAAGACGTGAACGGCTGGCACCCAACCTCATCCCATCGCCCCCTGATGCAGAAAAGACAAAAAGCAACGCCCAGATGCGTCGTGTATTTACAGTCGAATGAAGACACCAAACAAGGTACCATCCGTATCATCGTTGCTCAGGGGATAGGGTCTTCTAGGAAGTCGTAGCCGTCTTCGGACGGCAGAACGTAGGCTGAGACGGCCAGGCCGACAGCGCAAACCAGAGAAACAGACGCACTGACCGTCATCAAGACCCAAGAAGTGTCCAGAGTCCACCCAGGCACGGTAAACTGTTGATCGTGGTCGAAGAGGTACGCCTTTTGAGCCTCGTGTTAGTTTCTTCCGCCTCACGCGTCTGTCTAGCTTCCCCGAAATATCACTTACCACAACGCCCATAATAGAGAACTCGAAGAGGCCAACAACGATAAGCATGAGACCCAGCAGCTTCCAGCCAACCTCGCGCTTGAATCTGCCGCCTACCATGATGACGAGAAACGACACAATGGTAGCAAGCTGCAGAATGGTCGCGAACGAAGCAAGGAAACCGACGGTGCGCCACATGCTACAGAAAGACCGCTCTCCGGTGCACTGGTCGGCTGTTGGGAACTCACGACACGGGGGGTCGTAGAGGTTGGAGCAGGTACGGTGCAGGCCAATATGTTTAGAGTACGTATGGCCATCGACGGTGGTGGCCGAATAAGAAATCCAGTGCGGGACCGTAATGGATGCGATGGTCATAGTAGTAGCTGCACGACAAATTTGCTGTCAGCTTCATGATCGCTGTATGAGTTGCGTGGCTTGCTGGCCGATGCTGGGGGGTTACGATCCCAGAAATGCAGTCATGAACGATGACGACACTGAGCGTTGTAGGAGCTTCGACTTACCAGCGACAAAGGCCACGAGGGCCGCGCTGTAGACTGAGACTCGCGTCATGTCGGGGTGTGCGATGAGGGATCTCAGAGGCAGAGCTGACAGTCAAACTATCCGACCGACTCGTGAATGGTTTGCAGGATGGTTGGGAGAGATAAGGAGTTCGTTCCTCTTGTGGTTGCGCGGGTTTGCCAGCCAAGGCAATCAATGGTGCCCGGAATCGAAGGCCAGTTTCAAGGTTGCCTGCTTGCCCGTTGCACCTCCCCACCAGTGACGACAGGTTCACAGTGGAGAACGCCTACCCTTCTGGGCTTACCTTGCCTGGAGGCTGGGGTTCCCAAGCGTGGGGGAATGGGCATCGGGTGTTCTGAGTGGCTGATGAGCCCGGAGACGGTGAAGGATTAATGAAAGCGGCCAATGACGGGGACGAGAAGCCCTGCGCGTCAGTGAGTGATCACGATCGTAGTGGCTGCACCAGGCAAGGATGGTGCACAAGGTTGCTGGGAGGAAGAGGGCGCCCATGGCATTCTGAGGGGAGCTTTGCTGCTATCGATATCTCTTTCGCGTCGAGATGCCCATCCCACGCCCACCATTCAATCGTGGTGTGCATCCAAGTCGGCTGTGAGCCATGCTTCGAGGCCTTGTCTGCTTTGCGATTTTCTTTTCTTCAATTGTCACTCCACCACTGAATCAGGCGAACAGTGCGAGCACGACGGTTCCAGCTGCAGCAAGCATCGGCCCAACACCAGACCCTAGGCGACTGCTACCACTGTCGTCGTCGTCGCTACTGTTGCTGCTGCCACCGTTGTTATTGTTGTTGTTGCCGCTGCTGGTACTGTCGCTGCTGGTACTGTCGCTGCTGGTACTGTCGCCTGAATTCGTATCGTTCCCGCTGCTGTTGTTCCCCTGCGTCCGAACCGAGCTGCAACAAAAATTAGCCGCCAAGCATCAATTTGATCGGAGCTTGAGGAACCCACATTGCATTGTCGCAGTCTACGAAGCCGTTACGAGAAGCTCCGGTGTGAGTGATTTGACCGGCCAGTTCGCAGTTCTCTGTGATGATGACTCGATCAGGTCCGGGACTGTTCCCCGTGTACACGCCTCGTCTCAGAAGGGGAAACTCTTGGAAGGGCCCTCTAATATTGTCGAACGTGAAGCCCTCGAAGTTATTGTATCGATGCGGGTAGTTGTTCCTTCCGAGCTGGCGACCGCTTTCAAAGAGTCTGCAAGCCTCATCGGCAGCTTCCTGGATCTGTTCATCTGTATACACATTACTGCCGCAGCTCACGGCACTCTGCGCAATGACACGTGCCGACAGCGCAAGCGTTGTGAGGACGAGAGCGGAGAAATGCATCGTGACGGCGTGATCCTGGCGATGGTCGAAATGATGGCAGATCGCGGTACGGATGAACTTTTTCAAGAGCTTGTTCGCCAGAGGAAAGGTGAGGACAGGGCACTGCTTAAAAAGCCTGCGAGGCCTCGCGTCGCCAAGATCGTGGGACACCACGCGTTGGGCTTTGGTTGGCGGATGTTCTGCAATCTGCAACAGTCTTTCCTGGGCGACGGGACCTGCGCGAGCGATGCGAAATGAGCCTGGAAACCCTTTATTGTTCAGCAAAGCAAGGGCCCTGAAAGCCTTGTTGATCGCTGGCTTACCTCCCACGACCCTGAATCGGGCCAAGATCGCGGGGCCAGAGCGCGCTGGAAGGGTCCATCAGGGCCCTTTCCTGATAGAGCACCCCCTTGCCCAGCTGAGGGCAGGCACTACCATGTCTAGGTAGCTGTTGGTGTCTCTACCACATCTCACCTGCCCAACTCAGTCATCGCCGCTTCACGCTTGACAGTGGTGGCCTGCCTCTTCTCCAACTGGTGTCACCAGAGCTTCTCTTTTTGTTTATCTCGCGGTCCCCCTTCTCTCTAATATTATCAGCATTTGGCGATCGAACAGATTTGAGCCCTTCAGCCATGCGCCAAACTGTGATGAGCGGTAGCAAGGCGCTGATTTCGGAATCACTACGCAAGTCAACGCCCATAGGCCTCCCACTGACAAGTTCGGTGTTAACCCAGAAAACCTTCTTCTGTTGTTACAGTACACAACACCGCTATCGCATGATATTAGGTTTCGTGCCGCGATCTTGACCTCCTGTCTGGGGTTGCACAAAGCCGATCTGCCGACCCGAAGTAACAACAACCCCGCCTCCAGGCGCAGGGCAAGGTTTACGGAAGCCCATCGGAATGAATCTGAGGACATCTGTTTCATTTCTGACTAAGCACATGAATTGGTTTTTTTTTTCTCTCACGCAAGACTCCCTTTTGGCTGAGGCCAGGCACTGGCCGCTGTTTCTCACTCGATTGTGTACCGGTCAGGTCTTCCCCAGATAGCCAATCTCAACGGCGACTCGCATGTGCATCGTCATTGCTCCCCTGTCAGATCGACCAAGATATCAGGCTTTCAGCACGTGTCAGCATGATCTCTTCAGAGTCGTTGGGTCATAGACTTCATGTGCCGCAGTCAAATGTGTATTGGCAACGCAAACTGCCCCGCCACCAACCGGGACTCCGGAAGCAGCGGTATGGCCCCCTTGGTCGTCTTATACCGCGCTAGGGATCGCCCACAGCAGCTTGATAAGTGCTTGGCCGAGCTCACCCGAGACTGTTCCTGGCAGGTCGTCATAATTGCCCTGGAAGCGCTGTCAGTGTTGCTTTCTAATGTCAAGACGTCGGACGCGAGGAACCTTGCGAGCTGTGACAGGAACATTAGGCCTAGGTCGAGCCCGAGACTAGGTACCTTGAGGCAGTCTGAGCTGTGCAAAGTTGTCGAAGAGCTGTCTGTCGCTCGATCCTTGGGTTAGGCCCACTGCCGATCAGATGCGGCCGGCGCGATCACGCCAGAACAGCGGCGTGCAGTGCAATTCATCGAACGCGCGACATGCCGTATCGCTATCTTTCTCGGCCAGTGATTGCAACCAGCATGACCAAGGCTATCCACTCAGTCTCGAGCTAAGGCAGGGTAGTTTTGATTCGGGGGTGACTTCATTCGAGATACAGATCGGGAGCTCCTAGTCGAGCCAGGGTCTTGACACACGCCTAATGGCCAAGGTGCTAGTAGGTTACGTCTTCCATTTCTCATGCTAACCCTGACGAAGCTATATGTCCTTCTTAATCACTCACATGTCCCTGCACTCCTGTTCACCATGAGCCACCAAACTCGCCGCACCCCAGAGCTCGAAATATTTCACCGCTATACTCGCATCGGCTGGTGAACAGTCCTGCTTGAATTGAAACCACCAAAAAGAAGCTACAGTGAACGCTCGCGCAGAAAATCCTAAGGGTAGTGTTCGAGGCGTCGCCTATCTGGGGCCAGCCGCCTGTAGACACGTCAAATACACACCCGGATAACAAACAAAAGCACAGAAAGCGTCATGGCAGATCGTCGTCCTTTTGATCATCGTCCAATTCAGACAAGCGCAGTCCTGGTCCTCGGCTCGTCCAGAACCAAGACGTCGCCGCCGCCTTCACCCCCTTCACCCCCAGAGGAGCTTTGTGAGCCTCTTGAATCATTGAGCCTACCTCCTTCGGGCAACGACCAGGCGGAAGAGGAACGACGAAAAACCTCGACACGCCTACGCGCTGCAGTACATGTATTGAACACGGAAGCGCTCGCTCTCAGGGCAGTGACGCGCTTGTACGAAACGGATCCCGTTGCTCGTGACGGCTTCAATCGAACCGTGGGAA